TGGAAAGTGGAGCTGAATGCTTGATTCTTTCAATGAGTGAGTGATTGAGAGTGCTCTTGGTAATGGCCTCTACTACTGTATGGATATAAAACATTATTTCTTAGTGTAAGTGCTGTGTCTTCACCATGCTTTCATCTTTAGAGATATAAAGTTTTGAAGTCAGCCTTCTGGAAATATGTTGTGTTAAATATGAGGCTATTCAAATGCACCAACTAATTAGGAAATGTGAAATGGCTAAACACATATACTCATTCTTTCAGATGCTTATACAAGAGCAGAAGTTGTTTATGAATGGACCAGAGAGCCAGCACGTTCAGTAGTTGTAGCAGAAGATGGGTCCCGTCTCAACCAATACGACCTTCTGGGACAAACTGTGGACTCTGGTATTGTTCAGTCAAGTACAGGTGAGTGCAATTTGATTGTTCTATTAATACAGGAAAATCTTCCGGTGGCACAGTGGGTTAAGTGCTGGGGTGTAGCTCAGCAGATGAAATTCACCAGCCAATAGGCAGAGGAAAGATAAAAGAGTTCCCAAAAAGACTTACAGTCTTGGAAAACAAGCCATTCTACATTGTGCTGTTCAATATTTCTGTGAAGTCTGTATGAGCTAGAAGCAACTCACTGATGGAGGTTTGGTTTTAGTTGGATACCCAGAGGAAGAATCTGAAGCTTTTTTCTTTTTTAACGGGAATGGAGGATATCTGTGAATTCTTCAAAAACACAAGGAGAGAGAACATTAAACAGGGTTGGGAATCAGGTTAGCTAGGAACTAAAACAAACCTGATGAAGTGGGACAGGTCATTTAAAGCCTCTCAGCCTTTGTTTCGTTGTGAAATTAAGTGCCGGTTCTATTTAATCATTGTAGCAAGCTCTTCAAGGTCTTGGGGGAGATTCCCTCCATATAGCCTGACTACTCCATCTTTGCAGCTGATTTCATCACAGCATTGCTGGAAGGAATAAAATTAAATCCATGTAGAACATGTATTGTAATCCCTGCCACACAGAAAAGTCTGCCTCAATGTTAGCTAGGCCCCCATTCCTTCCACCCATCAATGACTCAATGAATATGTGCACATGCAGTGTCACACAGCCCATTCCTTTTACAAACCCCTTTATATTGCTAGTCACGAATCTTTCACAGTTAGCACCTGGAGAAATATAAAAGCATTACTTTAACTCCATTTTGAATAAAATAGATGGTGATTATGGGAGAAACATGTGAGTGATTTGCCAATGATATATTCAGAACTAGATAAAATTGTTATTAAAAAGCAGTATTCAAAAACTTAAATCTGTGAAGGTGTTTCTAAAAATCAAATACAGACTAAGGTAATGGATCATGGGACAAGATAATTATGAATAAAATTTAGACCGTATTAATTTTGACAATGTATCCCAAACCACAATCTTTAGAAACCTGTTAAAGATCCACAAATTGGGTAGCTTATAAGAAGTAAAAGTTTTTGGTTTTTTGAGTGGGCGTGTTTCCAGAAAGAACCAGAAAATCTGCTAGACAAATTCTAAAAGAGTCATTGACCATAGAATGAAAAGTTTGAACAAAAGCCAATGATTGCTTTTATGGGCATCTTTAAAAATTGAAATTTGGGTCATTTACATATTTTTCTCATACTCGTGTCTTTCTTAGATTTTAAAA